CTGCAGCGCCAGCGGCAGGAGGACAGCGGTTTCCCTCGGCTGTTACAAAAGCAGGATGCGACTGATACGGTGCCATTGCCACACGGTCCGGGCAGCGGCCGGAGGTTTGCAGACGAGCCGCTGCAGTGCTGAGCCCTCCGAGCAGAGCTCTGCACCCCTCCCAGCAGGCCCGAGCGGTGCCGAGCGTATTTGTTTTTGGAGGCTTCCTTCTCCTAATAGGAAAGGAGATGCGTTTTGCAAAATGAAATTGTTTAGGGGTTTTTTAATACCCTGCCCATCTTTCTCTGTTTTCCTCTTTTGATTCTCGGCGTGCTGAGGCACGATGGCTTTCCAACACCCACTCTGCCGGGGTGTACCTGTGTTTGTATAGTCCATGAGGATTTGGAGGAAAGAGGTAATGTGGGTTTTTTTCCTTAAACTAGATTTACTTTTTCCTCTCGGTTAACAGAGGAGAAGCCTTCCTGCAAATCTTGCGCTACTGCCCCCAGGCCGGTGCACGTCTTTCAGCCCATCCCTGGGCGCACATGTACACATTTAGTGGATGTTTCTAAACACAGCGTAGCCCAGCAGGAGGGGAACCTGGAGGACCTCCGAGACCGTTCTTCTCGCTGCCTTCCTTTAGCTAATGCCACCTAAAGGCAGCTGGCCTGCTTTGGCATCAGTTCTTTCCGAAAACATTTTTCACTTCTCTGAGATTACAGCTTTTTATTATTATTTTTTTAAAATGAGGATTGATTGCTGTCTTCACCAGCTTTGGATGCAGGGAACAGAGAGGCCGAACGCGGTCCCTGGGAGAGCTGCGAGGACGGAGCCATCGCTGCAGGTGCCGGGGGGCGGCCGCTTCTGTACGTGCGTGCGGTCGAAACCTTGATGAGCTCTGTGGTCTTGGCAACAAGGTCAGGTCCTCCACTCCGCGTGGCCAGTGCCTCCCGCTGCTGTGCCCATGTTCTGAAGTGAAGCAAGAAAAATCATCCCAGGAAGGAAGGTAGAGAGGTAGGGCGGGCAGTGAGCAGCTGAGGGGCTCTGCACCCCTCAGCTGCTCACAGGCACCCTGGGGAGCAGGCGCCGGGGCCCGAGGCCCTGCTCCGCACGGTCTGCAGCGTCCCAGGGAACCAGGGGAGGAGGAGGAAGGATGGAGGGGAAAAGGCTTCTACGGACGCTGTGTCTTACCGATCACAGGGAACGCTTTGGTTCGAGCCGTTGGCAGGCACTAGCTCTGCTTTTCCAACACCGTGACTTGGGCAAAGAGCACGCGGCGCCTGGCCGAGGCCGGCGCGCTCAGCACCAGGCGTCTGCACGCTGGAGCCCCGCAGCAGCTCCAGCCAAGCATGCCGCGCCGTTCGGGATGGCGCGGTCAGCCGAGCAATGACATAGCGACGACGCAGCCAGCCCGCCCACAGGGCAAGCCCAGGACTGCATCTGTGCTTGAATTACTACGAACACCAACGATGAAACGCTTCATCTCCTGGAGCTGGGGCAGGTAGAGACAACCCAAAGCCCAGCTGCGGAGGATGGAGCATTGCTCCACACAGTCGCTGCTAGGTTCCTGGTTTGGAATGGTTTTTTTGTCGTTTGAGTATCTATCTCACTGTAATAACCGCAGATCTTCTAGCTGGACGACGTGGCGCATGGATCGCCATCACGTCCAGGTGCAAACCACCACCCCAAAGGAAGCCTCTCAAGGAAAACAGGAGAGGGGAGAAGGTTTAGGGCTTGCTTTTTTTACTGCTGTCCACCCTGGAATAGCAACCTGCGGAGACTTCAAGGCATTTCAGACAGCAGGTAAATATTCAGTGACGGTTTATTGTCTGGTCTTTATTATTATTACAAAAGCAGCAGATATCAAAAAACAGCAAAGATTTCACGAGTTCCCCAACGGTTTTACACAACTGAACTGCAGTAACCTGGTGAATGTAAAACGCACAAATTTCAGTCCTGGCCCTAAACCTTCGACGGCAATCTGTGCTCTGGGATGCCCTGGGCTTTCCTAATTCTTTCTTACTCTTTATTTTGGAACCCGATGGAAAGTAGTGAGAAATTTGGAAAGCAACCTACTGAATGTGAAAAGCTCTTACTCTTTATTTTGGAACCAAATTTTCCCACCAGCTGTGGCACAATGCAACGGGAACGCCAATGGTCTGGGATCCTTTAAGACCCTACACGTCTAGAAAACAAAATACGGGAGCTTGGCAAGCACGGTGTGGATACTCAGCTTACCCCAGGCAGCCACTTTGTTGTGCTTGACAAAGTCAAATCACTTTCAAGTTGCTGAAAGGTGATTTGTTGTACGAAAGCTGCTTTTTGTTTTTCTCTTCAGGATCTTTGCTCCCCAAAATAAAAGGGTTCACTGGGCTGGGCTCCAGCATAAATGGACCATCAACCTTTTAAATTCTACCATCCAAACTGCCTGAGGGACAGCTTCATCCCGCTGTGACCCTCCCACCGCGGACCCAGCATTCGACTGATCGCAGGAAACCAGAAGAGGTGTGAGATGTGAGGTAAGGAGAGTGCTTAGCTCTCTGGCGTGGTAATCAGGGTCGGAAGGGACCCTTCGCTTTCTGTCCTATTCATGGCTATAGGTTCAGAGGTTCACCAAAGGGAACATGGTCCAGTTACCTGGATCGACAGCTGCCCCACTTTTTAAACACAGATCTTGCATCAAAACACTGCTTGGCTAGCAAAAAGAATTAAGACATTTCCCTACGTCCCTCAGCATTTGCTTGGAAAGTCAGGTCCAAATCTGCCATAATTATACAGAAACGCAAATCATCCTAAACATGAAGTTGTGTATGTTGCTATACGCGTCACTGAAATGTTCCCAAGTACCAAATATTCCTGTTAGAGATGAAATTGCACCTCCATCGTTTTCCAGACTTTAACACCAAAAGAGATCACGATATGCATTACTTGACAGGTATGAAAGAAGTGGCGAGAAGGCAAGCTGAGAGACAAGCACTGCCCATGGGGCAGCAATGGCATTTGGTTGGTGGGGTTTCGCACCGGCGTTTCCCCACGCCGCGGATGGCAGGCAACCGCTCGCTGCCGGACTTAAACCGTCTTCCTGGCGGTCAGAACGCGGACAATGGACCCCACTCCTCCAGCAGCCAGGGCCTGAGAAGAGAAACACGGCGACTGACACCAGGTTACGGTAGCCACACGCTGAAATGACCGAGCAGAAAGGTTCCCCGACCGTGTTTCAAGGGAGCATTGCCCTGCCCGTGACATGAAGAACAAAACACTAGCATTCAGCGTGCCAGCGAAGGATAGTCGCACTCGCTTTAAAGACGGCTACCTAACAAGCTTTTATTTCACTGCATACCCAAGCTGCAAATTTTGCTTCCCTCTAGAAAGGAAATTCTACTTCCATCCGCTTGAATCACTGGATTGAACCATTCTGTTCGCCTCAGTCTAACTGAAAATCAAATTTTAACTGTAAAATCTTTACCCAAGGCATCGGAAGAAGTAGGCACGTGATGTAACTCCGCTGCGTGCTTGCAGAACCGCACCCTTCTCACGGCATGGAACATGGCCTTTCGGTTTTACCCAGCCGAAAGGTGGTCCTTACCAGGCTCGGTGAGCGTGCCTCGGACCCCAGAACCCACTGCCACGAGGAACCCCGGCGAGAGCACGCCCCGCAAACGCACCTTCTCGTGCCACTGCAGCAGCACAGCGCTGCTGTTGTCGGAGGGGCTCTCGAAGCCTTTGTAGATGTACTTCATTAGCAGGTCGACACCGTTCTTGTCCAGCGACTGCACCGCCTTCTCGATGTCGTTGGCTTTGAAAGAGATGAGGACCTTCAGGACAATACTTTCTGCGCGATCCTGTCAACAAATACGGAAGGCAGAGATACATTCGTTCTCGTGTAAGGTGCATCCAAGTATTACTCATCTTTCCAACAAACCAGATTTTTTTTTTAATAATTTGAAAATCTGTTTGTATGGGGCAGTTTGTGCACAAGTCTTGTGATAATAATGTGTAACGGATACATCCTCCCAATGATAAACAGCGTAAGAGTTTATCACATTTGTCCTGCTCTAGGTTTTCTGCCCTTCTGCTTGTATCTGCAATTCTCCACCTGTTAAATGAGGTTACGGCTAAATACGAAGTTTTTGTATCGAAACTCAAGGTTTGGCAAGTTCCAAATGCACTGTAAGAATTAAGTACCTGACTGGCCTCCCTCGCCACCAGAGCCTTTGCCGTGCCTTTGTGCTGTTTAATGAGACACAACTACGATATACCATGCAAGTGGTGCTGGCCAGCCTGGAAGAGGTGGCTGCTGGAAGCCACACGTTTGCTAAACAGTCGGCTTGTGTCCCAGGCACAGAGGATGCAAACTGGCAGCGTTAGTAGTTTGCATTAACAACCACTGGCAACTTGATGTGGATGTCATGTCAGGCCCAGGAATGCGTGTGGCACGATTATAACGGCAGATCAGCCATGCAAAAAACATTAAAATTAATTCACTCTTGCCCTCTTCAATTCCACTGCCTTCAAAATGTGTTCTTAAATACATCAATACCGACCTAATGGAAACAGGTGATTAATGTGAGGGCAAAAGTGTTCAGTCTTTTGTGCAGCACTGTCTGTAACAAACACCTGGATCTCCAAACCCTGTGAAAACCCTCAGGAAAGGGCTGGGACTAGCTGAAGAGATCTCCACCAGTGCCCTGGTGAGGCCGGCCTGGTGCCAGAGCAGCACGGTAACGTGCCCGTGGGACTCTGCCCAAGCAGGGAGAACAGACCTCCGCAGGCGCTCGCCAACTGGGCAGTTCCGCGTCTCATCGGCCCGTCCCCCTCACTGCTGCCATCACGAGCCACTCGAGGTTTGTTCTGGGGAGAGTCAGAAATACACGCACGCAGCGGGCTCCTGTACTCTGTCACAGGGGGAGGGCTGGCGTATTCCGAGGTCTTAACGGCTTAATTCTGACTGGATGCGATAACCATTGGCCCTTCCTTTTTTGCAGGTTCGCAGCCCAGCTGTGCTAGCGGAGTTTCCCCAGTCAGAGGCAGCTGCGGTTCCTTGATTGCTGAGTGGTGACCACATGGACGTGCCACCAGGTCTGGATCAGACCCAGGCACCTGGTGACGTGAGGAGTTAGCCAGGGCACGCAACGCGCAACCAAGGCAGGCAGGAGGACACGCAAGAGGCGAACCAGCACCGAGCTAAAGGCACGTGGACAGATGACATCCGAGCTGCGGTATTTTGAACAAGATTAAAACAGCAGAGGTCACAGACGTTTTGACATCGGGCAATATCCTAAAAACCAGCTTCGTCGGCTTCCTCAAAGCACACCAGGCAGGGCAGGGGCTATAGAAAGAGGAAAGGATTTTTAAGGAGTAACCCATAAATGAGCTTGTTATTATTTTTTACCTTTACTGCCTGGTTCTTTGTGTTGATCGGAGGGTTCTTCAGAGCCGCCTGTAGTGCAGCCATCATGTTCCCTGTGCCAGATAGTTAAGGACTGGACACCAACTATTCGGAAAGCAACAGAACCAGCTCCAGGACAGCAACAGTGGTAGCTGGCTTATGCGTGACTGAAGACACTTAAGGTTCAGC